CGGAGCACGGTCTTTTGTTACAGGGCCCAATTTCCTTAGTCCGAGTTTAGAGACCCCAGCCACGTATAAAGCATACATCTCCGATTCCAGAGTCCCCGGCAGGAAGTGGTTAACAACATAATGTCCATTTAATGATCGGTTTTGCCTGTACCTAACATCAAACAGAAAATTCTAGTCCCAACCCACGAAGATTGCGTGGCATTTTCCTCATCATTAAACAAACAAAACCAAACATTAAAACTAGATCATGAACCAGACAAACAACCCAAATCAGTTGTCCATGCAGTTACATACATACATGTACATCTAAAGCCCAGAGCTAAAGTAACATTCTACTCATACATGTATCTCAGTTCCCAGTAATTACAGCAAGGTGTACAATGTAAACTCATTCCAGCATGAGTAGCGGAGGTGAGGGATTACGTAGGATCAAGGCTTTCTGACTTTACACCAGAGATACATGTATGCAGGTATCAAAAACGGCATGCTTGTCTGACATTCATAAATACCTAGGTTAGTACGATGCTGCTGATTGGTCGAGAAGCAGTCACATGGGGTATGCATACGGTATGTAAAAACGGCTAACAATGTGCATTGTTATACATATACACCATATCAATACATGTAAGTCTCTATGTGACGAAAAAACAAGAAAAAGTGCTTTACAAAATTTTAAGGTGGGAGGACCATACAATGTTAAATAAGGGAATTATTTTCCCATGTACCAGGTAGACTGATGAAGGGTAGTGGATGAAAAATTGCAGTTCATCTATTTTCCTGTTTTCTCAAACTAAGCTGTCAATGCACCAATAGCTAGAATCAAATCAACTACGTCAAGTTTTTTGTAACCTCCAGGGATTGAAATTGCTGTGGTAATAATTGCTGGAAAAACTCGCACAATGAAAATGAAAACTCTTCGGATATCCATTATTACTCTTTTGCCACCTTTGCAAACAACTCCTGCGAGGAGTTTGAGGTACACTAAACATTACAAATATGTGCACACGTGTCTGGTACCTCACATACAAATTTAACTACAAGTACATGAGAAAATCCAAAGATAACACAATAGCAATGTTAGAGCAAAGAAGAAGCAAACGTTAGTAATGATTAGTACAGCAGGCAGTAAGTGGAGAAGAGGCACACTGGAGGTATTGCAGACAGGAGATGCACCAAAGTTGGAAAAATGTTATCAGTGCAAAACAAAGTGTTGTATGGTCAACACAAAGCATATACCAAAACCAGCAGAGATGTAAAATGGTTCAACGAATCAAAAGGCGCAACTACCACCATTGTTAGTTCACACTAGTCCATACTTGGATGAATTATACTCACACTGACTGGAATATACTACAAGAGTAGTGTATTATGCAAGCATAAAGAGGCAAAAGAAAAACAAAACAAAGGAAAAAAATTAGCAAATAAAAACTTAAAAAGTAATACAGCTGTATTTTTTTCACTTTTCTTTCAGAAAGGGCAACTAGCCGTGCACAAAAAACATGAAACTTGAAATATGCTTTCTGCCATTTCACGAGTGAAAAAACAGAAACTCTTCATTAAAAAAAAAAAGCATGTGGTTCAGCGTAGTTATCTTCATGATTGTTGGCTGTCTTCAGCTGTCTTTGTCAGCATTTGATATGCTGTTCAAAATGAAAAACCAAAGACAGAAATGTGGGTTAGTGCTTTTGCTGGTTTGCAGCCTGTTGCCTATGCTGTACGTACAGAAAGAATGGTGCATTCTTCAACAGACGCAGACACACAGAAAGTTTGTAGAGTACAACACACACGTCCATTTTATTCAGCAGAAATGCACAACACTGCTGGATTGCTCAATCCAAATTTTCATGAAGAATTAGTTCAACTGCGAATATTTTATACACATGTGTTTCCATACATACAGAGGGAAAAATTTCGGGGCCTTTCACTTTCCATACAGGCAATCCTCTCCCGGCATAAAAAAATCTCTTTGGCTCCAGCTGAATCACCTGTGCTGAGAAGGCCAACCACAACTGTAATACCTGACTACTCCAATAAAGAGCTTACAATAAGATAGCTACACCTGCAAGCAAGACACTTAAAGACCTCAAACTAATCTGAGAAACCTTGGGTTAACAATGCTTTTGGAAGTCAGACAGAAAACAGCGCTGTTACTTTGATAAAGGAAAATATTCTTCCCAATGTCAGGCCACTAGATGTACATGTATGATGTTCATTGTCCCCACCCCCCCTAAAAAAAGGGGGGGGAATGAATAGCTTACATGTTCTAGGGCAAAAATTGCACTCAGACCTTCTTTCATGTACATGACTCCATGCACATGTACATGAACCTAAAAGTCCAGAAATATCACATTCTGCCATGCACAACTCAGCCTGCTGAGGTCCAATACACCTTTCACCTTTTCCAAGTTAACACAAGACATCCATGCAAATGATGACTATTGCAAGCAGGTAATATACCCAACCATGACCCTATGCTGAGTCCATTATACTTTGTCTCTAGTCCTTACCGCATATCAAAAGCAACAGCAGTAATTTACATCCTATAAATGCCAAGTCAACACCGTAAAGTTTGTGAGGCATTAATATCGAAAGTACAAAACTGATTAAAGGTTACCATCAATTACTATGTTGATCAACACCCAATGCATGAACTATATACAGGCATCTAGACTTACCACCATCCTCAAATACATAGAATTGTTGCTCACAGATGAAACAAATCCAAATTCATTACTTGTTCAACCGCAATACAAGAGCCAAGTGATGGAAATAAAAAAATGACTTCGCTTGTCAAGTTCAAGTTCGGGATAAAATATATGTAGGCCTAATGCCAGGATTTATAGTCACAAGTGAATGGAGTAATGGGTGTCCTCTATGCCTATGACCACATTGCTCATGACACAGGTATCTCTACTCAGTACGGCCAAGAGCAAGAGGGAATAGCACTCCAGAGAGTCACCGAATGTGCTCAGTCATCTACATGTAGTTGGCCCTGGAAATTTGCAACCTGAGGTTTATCAGTGACAGAAAGACAGATAATGCTTGTGCATATAGCAATATACCAGTATAATTGAAGAACTGAACAACACTGAAACTTTTTCCAATATATGATAATTCACCTCTCAAGCATTTCACACAATGCCAAAGATTTTGCAAGGGGACAGAACCTTACACTTCAATTTTGCCTGAAATCCAAGAAGCCAACTCAGCTTTCCTAATGCATCACATGTAAGTTGATTGGAGGCACTTGGTGAATGCAACCTAGCAGGTAGTGGCCTTCTTTTCAGAGTAGGTCCGAGTCAACAAGTAGTAAAAACAGCTTAAGTCTAAAAGCACATACCTTTTCCTGTGAACTAGATATGCAATTAGAGAGCAAACTGTCATCAGCAAGCTACAGCATACAAATGAATAAATGTATTTCGGACAACATAATTTGTTAGGTATGATACTGAAAAGGTAAAAACTGCAAAAGCGCTGCGGACAATACAGAAGAAATACATATACTCACCCCTGGCCTTGGTAATGAAAGATACACTTGCTTTTCACCTGTGAAAAAAATAACAAAAAAATGAATATTCAATAATCAAAACGATTGTCTTGCAGTATCTTACCAAACCTGTCAAAGTTCACATTCGCAGATCCAAGTGAACACATTTCGGCACTTACTTCCTGCAGCCAAGATTAAAGACCAGCTAAGCACAGAATTCTGCTGAACATGGGAGAAATTTACTTAGCAACTTAGATTACCAACCAAAAGGCCATAAAAAAGATACAGACTGGTACCTTGCTGGTGTTTATTTCACCTATAGACGTTTTCTGCTTAGAGCCAACTCCTTGAAACTGGGCTCTATTTGCATTTGTGGATCATAAACATGAGAGGGAGTTTCATAAGAGATCTACTTCTTTTGTTAGGGCAGGATCCCCCCTCGCTGTTATTCTCATCTTACTTGTCTTGCCCTGACAGCAGTCATTAATTTCTTTGACGAGCAGTGAGAGGTCGTTGACCTGGCTCTCCCACGTGTCGCTGAAGACCTCCAGGCTCTCCTTGGCAATCTTACTGCTCGGATGAATTGCCAGGGTGGTTGCCAAGGCAACAATCTAGACAAGTGGGGAAAAGAACGTTGCCAGGAGGATGATGACAAGAGTGCCATGGCTACCACACACACACACTTCATGAGAGAGATGTCCAAGTTAAACCATCAACAACCATGATATTCTAGTATGCCCTGATGGGGGTAGTATTATTTCATTGTGCAATAAAAGGAAATCACAGGCTTCATGGGGTGCATTTCAAATGTTTCAGGAATAGCATTAATGGGGAGTTAAGAAAATGGAAAGGAGCTGTTTGAGGGAAACCTCCATGCCTGTTGAAATCCTTCCCCTTGTCTTGGACAGTAAGTGTGAAAGAGAGGACATCCAAATATAGCCACTATCAGGTAGTACTTATTTGCAACAAAAAATTTATATTTGTTGAACAGTCAAGCAATACTTGGAATGAACCACAAAACCTACATCAAGGAAAGGAAATTTTATAATATGGGCAATTCACGATAGTGCACCTTGAAGAGTTTGAAACGCATTGGCCAATCACAATGCGCGAAACTTGTTGATCCTTTCCAAACGCGCACTGGGTCGACAGTTTTCGAGAACTGTGATTGGCCAACACATTAAAAACTCTTGGAGGCACACTATTGTGAAACACCCATATTCTTGAGTGTACATTTCTACACAATCACTGTCTTCAAGAAGTGGGGCCAATTTCATAGAGCTGCTTAAGCACAAAATTTGCTAAGCGCAAGTAAACCTTACATAATAAATCAGTAAAAAATTCCATGTGACGTATATTGTGTTTGGATCATATTTAGCTGTCTTTTGGTTAGCATGACAATCAGATAGAGTTTGAGCTGGTAACCTTTGTTTTTAAGCAAGGCTTTTTTGCACTTAAGCAAATTTTGTGCTTAAGCAGCTCTACGAAATTGGCCCGAGGTCAATAATTATTAATAAGTTCCCAAATGCAAATGCTGACTTACTTGAGGACCTAATGATTTGATGTTGTTCTCTGCATAATCAGCAGATATCGCCAAGGGCACTGTACCAGCAATGTGGCCAAGTAACCTGCATGCCTGTCGAAATGACACAACCAATATAATATGACAGATGGCATTGTCATGGAAAAACATTTTTAAAGAAGTACTGAAAACTTGAAAACTCCTCTTTCACCACATTACTCCTTCATACTGCAGGATACTACTCTACCGACCCGTCATTGTATCATGCACCTTACCATAAACTTCTGATCTAAACTCTTATGCATGTACACTCTGAATAACCAACTTAGGCGACCAGTCCTGGCTTAAACTATGCATACTCCTGTACATAAAGCTAATTCAATATTTTAATTGGCAAGGTCACTTGGGAGAAGAGCATGTGACGCTATGCCAGCTTGAACGTGTTCAGTGCACTGAAGGGCCTACATACATATATGTTCTCAATGTTTATCCCAAATGACCTATGACTCATGCCATTCTGAGCATACTCTGCAAACTGGCTTCTAGCACAAACACTATTTACATATGATGGCTTCATACTCAGAGAAAATCAGTCAGAGACAATGCTCACCAATGTGATTGTCTAAGCCACACTTAGATTCCCTAAAAACAAAACACTCTCCACAAAAATGGTTATTTTTGAAACGAAACTTCCCAAAATTTCCAAAATGCTGTTTGACAGCACAGCACTTCTGCTTGGTGCTTATTATAGTCAATCAACAACAGGTGTTCAATTCAAGTAACTTTGGGTTACCTGATGTTTGGGTCGATTACAACTTTTAACTAATTTCTACCCAAAAAAGTGACCTTGTGTGATTCCTTTCTTTAAACAAAACTTCACAAGTACCTCTTGAAGCTGTTCCGAGTGTTCGCTGAACTTCAGCGCGTGCTCCTCCACCCTGTCCAACTCCCCGGCTGCTCCCCTCTGCTTGAGGTTGGCTAGGAGGTCTTGGTCATCGCTGGAGCGGAAGATCTCCGAGGCCTGGTCCAGCGCCGTGTTCTGCAGCTGCTTCTTGAGGTCCAGCAGGGTCTTGGACATCTGCTGGACGCACATCTCCAGGTCCTGCTCCTGCTGTTTGTTCGGCTTCTTTTCCTAAAAGCCCCCAAAATCAAGAAATGACATGTAGAAATGAGGCATCTCCCCATCTGTCTACAGTTCGACAATACCCTTGTCTACCTGCTCTGTGCACAGGCATTCCCTGTCGTGTGCTCTGGAATGTGCCAGTTTGTTATTTCAAAAAGGCAAGGTCATTCAACAACAAAACACAAAACTGGCTCATGGAAAGCCCTTAGTGTCATTCTTGGAATGGCAACATTCAAATAGCAGTGAGTAATAATACGATGCAGTAAATATAACTTCTCCATATAGCAAATTTCGGTGCCAATGGATTCCCAATGATCTTTACATGGAATTATCCTGGCTAATTGGTTCAACAAACATTCCTAGAGCAATCTCAGCTCTTTGGAGGTACATGTACATTTACAAGGCTGGAATGCTGCCATTTCGGCCACACACACCTAAACAAAAAAAAAAAAAGAACCATCTCTACCCTATAGGTACCCATTTACACCCTTGGTTGGAGAGAGGGGCACTTACTGACCTGTTGTGACCTTGGACAAGTCACATACCCTAAACAGGTCGAAAAAATGTGATTGACGGCTGGATTCAAGCCCTGGATCCTAGAATCAGGAGTTACATAACCCAACCACTAGGCCACATACCACCCAAAGAACCTGCTGGTTAGGTCCTGAGTACCCAGTTCAGGAGCAAAAGTTCTTAAAGTTGTTCCTCCTTCTTTTTTTATCCCAAGGGGTAGTTACTCACCAGGGCAGTGCCCACGCCAGCCAGGGTGCGCAGGTCCGTCCTAGCCCTGTCCCGCAGGGTCAGGATGCGCTCCCGGTGCTCGTGGGACGTGTAGGCTGAGTCGGTGAAGTCCTGCGTTGTGTCGATGACCGTGTCCAGCACGCACTGCATCTTGTCCCTGGTGGACCGGTCGGCCTGGGTGACTTTGGCCGTTTCCACCAGATCCTGGGGTTGTTCAGAGGGAGAGACCATGAAAGTGGAATGTACAAAGCCTCAGCTCCGTGAGATTGTACTACTGTGTAGGTGTTTGCAAAGAGACTGGGTAAGTGTTGCTTTCTACTGCACACAACAGACTTGACTTTCAAAGAACAAAATAGACAAGTTGTTAGAAATGTAAAAAATACTGGTAAAATATTTGTGTTCCTTTCTCTACGGCAACATACAAAAGTCCACTAGATCAAAACATGAAACTTAAATAAAGGCAAATTTGATTCGATGGGCTTTACTGCAAAAATCCTTTAAAAAAAACAATACTTTGGCCTACTTGTGGTTGTCCTGTTATGACATTACTAGACAGATATAAGTTACAAATGACTACTAATCTGCACTCACAGATACTTCAGACAGTCTCACTACTCCACAACGTGCAACGTGACCAAGTTTTAACATTTGATAATGCCCGCTCAGATTTGATAATGCACGCTGAGTAAAAATGCTCTGGCACCTGGATAAGAGCAAGACAGTTTCATCTATTCCTATTGGTCAAGAATCTGCGTGCAACATGGCATGCAAAACGCACCACGCACCACGTGTGCACAAAGTCCATATGTGGACATACTTCTGGACAACTTGCACAAGGAATATACCATAAAAATGGACAGGGGTGTTAGAAAAGATGAACTATACATGTATGTATAGCTCTATGGGAAAATGAAAGTAAAATTCTTCTGACAAACTAAAAGCAGGTATTTATGAATGGGAATAAGTATGTGCTTGGCCATGCCCAACCTACAGCTCGGCATTAGTCGCATCCATTCTCCTGAGTCGGTCTTAAACACATGTTTAAAACCGGCCAAGCACACATTTATTCCCTTACTAATCTGGACTGCTTGGTATTCAACATGGAGGAAGTGCCTTCTAATAAGACCAACAAACTTCTCAATGATTAAAATCACTAGAATCACTAGAATTCAGTAGAAAAACACTAGAATAGTACTGGTTCAGAATCCCAGTTTCACATGAATCTATGGGCAAACAATAGTTCACTATTAAATTTTGGATTTTTGCCCTGCCCGACGTGCATTTTGACACTGTATACTCAGTGTATGCCCCTGAAGGCTTCTGAAAAATCCACGCGAGTACTCGGGTGGACTCAAACCCACGACCTCCTGCTTACTAGTGAAGACGTCTCAACCACTCGACCACCCAGTTTGCCGGTGTTGACTGGTTGGTTCAAATCAGATGTAGCAGTGGGTACTGCGAACAACTATTTCAAGGATGGATTTGCGCCAGAGAGGTGTAAATTAATTTTGGATTTTTGCCCTGATGTTTACAAATAGTTTACTATGTTTGGGCAAACCCGCCAGCCCCAAGTGGAACAATAATCACTGCGACTGTTGTCATCACCAATGGCAGCCCCTAATGCATCAAGAGCCACTGTGAACATAGCAGCTTCTTAAATACACTTTCAGCAAAAGTTATTTCAGATACACTTAAAATATCTACGGTGAAAATATGAAGACTGAGAAAGTCTGATGCGTGAAGAGTAAATTCTAGCCTTATCTGAAGTAGTTGGTAGATGTACAAATGTTGGCCTGCATTAGCACTGTTCTTGAGCTGCAACCCTGGGAGGGCAACCCTGGTACAGCAATTGCCAAGCCTCCAACAAAGTCTTGGCCGGTTTGCACACATGGCCGACTTACCATCAGCTCCTGCAGGGCATTGTTTGTGTTCCTGGGCGAGGCGATGCCGTTCTGCACCGGCTGGGCATAGCCGTCGTTGATGACATCGTCAATCAGGCTGAGGGCGCGTCGCATGTTGACAAACACGCCGTTCCGGGTCTCCTTGGCGGGAACACAGTCAGGATGTCTAAGGCACGTCTGCAGGATGGTAAAGAAAAAAAGGGAATGGTTTGAGACCAATAAGAGGACAAGCAGGCACAGGCTGTTGATGAAAATGTCAAGGTCTGCAGAGAACAGCTGTGTCTAGCTGTGAGGTAATTTCATAGCCTCCTGACATATACAGTAGCAGGAGGAGGTATCCGCAGCTGATTTGGTTCATCAATTTCAATCTAGAAGACAACTCAATGTATCACAATTTTTCCATCATTTCATTAGTTATAACGACGTTCAGCTTCAACTTGCATGAACGGGAGTCCTTGGACTTTCAAATCCAATTAATAAACACAAATGTCTTTCTTTTCACTTCCCTCAAAGATGTCACGAAATGCAGCCGAATTCATGAATCAGGTAACTTTGAGCTCATTTAAATGTTCAAGTTCAAGAACATCAATCAGTGTTTTATTACTTGCTAGCATCAACACTACCTGCATAGCACACTACATGTATGATGTACAAGTGCATGTACCTGCAAATGTACGGATTTTCTATATGGGGGGCCTGTGTCGAACTGTTTAGGCTATGACTGTTAGATGCTGTGTGCCCTACAGCTGCTTTGATATCATCATTATTTTTATTATGACGGGAAATAACTAGAGTGCACCCATCAGGGTTCCCACAGAAATCTAAAAACCAAATTTCATGATTTTTCCAGGACTTTCCATTACTTGAATACTGTATAACAATTTCCATGACACTGAATGTCATTTGGCAGAGAAAGTTGTCTGGTATGAACTTCATCATTATTTACAATTATTTTATTATGAAATTTAGTTATTATTCCATTATCACATCACAGGTGGCATTGCATGGTTTTGATTTCTCTGACTTTTCCATGTCTGTTTTCAACCTGAAAACATCCATGTAATTCCAGGAATCTGTATTTTTTTCTCAATTTTCCATGACTTTTCTATGACTTTCTAGGACAACGTTTTCCCATTTTTTTTCAGGATTTTCCATGACCTTGGGAACCCTGATCCAAGGAGAATACTGGAAAACAGCTACATCTACATGTACCTCCTCGGTTGTGATGTACATAATAATAAAAATAATACTTATAATAAATTATTCATTTACAAAGTGCAAATTTCATACAGATATATGACCTGGCACGACAAAATGAGCGTGAAGTCGCATTCTGCTCTTTCTTGTTTTAGGGTGCAAAGTGAAATATTGAAGTGGAGGTCAATTTAGGCATTTTATAATATTTTGAAAGAGTAACCCCCCTATTTAATTCGAATTTTGTTAGCGGGCTCAGATATTTAAAATGTCATTTTCTCAGCAATTTTGATGATAGCATTATTCGTGCCAGGTCAGAAATGTTGAAGAAATGTTAGAAATAAAGACACAAAGCTGTCAGAATAATGCCACCTGGTCACATCATACTTTTACCCTAAGTGTTCCATGTACATACCATTGAAAAGCTCTCTTTCTGCTGATTTAAAAAAGACCAAGATCTCAATTTTTGAAAATTCCGACTTTCAACTCATTTTGTGTTGACAGGTCACATTATGTTCAAATGAGCTGCACAATGAAGACATTCAATGTGGTACAATGAATACATTTCAACGAGGTTGAGCCAATGGCATGCAATGTACTGTACGTACATACTGGTACATGTACGTTCATGTATACATACATGTACATGTTCATGTACATGTATGTATGTGTTTGATCCTAAAGGAAAAACAGGGGGTTGATTCCATACAGACCCCTAGAAGTACCATACATTTATGACCAGAATGTTAAAAGTGAAGGTAATAACAGGAAATGACAGCCAGAAAATCTGAAATCCTATTAAGTAGGAAAAACATTACGCCTGCTCCTAAAGACACCTGTTTGAATCAAGACACAGCTGAAATCTTGTGAGCATATCATTCATTACCTCCACTATTACAACTTCTGAGCACAGTGAGACTCTTCTGACAACTGGACCCCAATGCTTTGATGCATACGATGGTATTTTATCAGAATAAAAGGTACCTTCATAAAACAATCTCAGCAATCTGTTAAAGGCTGATGTGACATTTCTAGTTAAATATTATGCCATGCCAGTTAGTAGTATAATTTACACGTTAAACCTAAAAGAGCACAATTAGAAGATGCTGGAAAAAATCCATTAACCCTAACCTTCCCTAACCACACAGAACTGAACACCAGTAAAGTGTGTGAATTTGTGGCACTGGGTACTGTACCCCTAAAGTGCTTGTGCTTTAACATGGGTTCTGGCATACCCAAAATAAACAGAGTCCAACAGTTTTTGTGCACAGTTCACCATATGGTGTTGGAATTTGTGTGAATGGGTATGGTTCCTAGTAAATCAATCTGGGGAGTTAGGGTTAAGTGAATTCTATAGTGAATGCATGTCTTCAAGACAATGGCAAGCAGTCACATACGGTACAGGCAGCTTCCTAAAGCATGATGACGCACAAGTACCGGTACACGTACTGTACATGTGTACATACCTTACATGATGTCAAGAGCATCATGGTGGATCTTTCCAGTATCGCTCTGGCAGCTGCCATCTTGGCTTTCATCTTGCCATCTTTCAGATCCTTGTGGGTGGAGGAGACAAAACTAAATGCAACTTACGGTAACATTGAAGGGTTTGGGGCTTTCTTCAATTAAGTGGATTTTGAACAACCTGTCGGTCTCCAAATTCACACATTTTTGAACTGAGTTTTTGAAGAACTACCTAAAACCTTAACATTTAGGATGGACGGACATTTAGTCCCTGGTTTGGATGTAAATGTATGTAAGTCTGAGTTCAGAAAGACCCATACTGGCAGGGGAGGTTGGGTGAGGAGAACAGGGCTATCGTACGTCACGGCAACTACTTATTTCATTTTTGTTTTTTAATTTAAATAAGACGATGATTAAACGTCTCAAAATGCTAGCCTCACACCTAAGAAATTAAGATTACTTAGAGAAAATCATCAAATTTTTGGGTGAATCCCCATTTGTTTTCAGCCCCCCCATGTGGTTCACAAACCACCGTTGAAAATGCACGTAACTTTCTCCGAGGAGACATCCATCACCTCAACCAAAAAGTCTCAACTGGAATACCTCAGCTCAAGCCCTGACATGTCTGGCACTGACCTTTAGTCTTCAAGCCGCATATCTGATTTTTCAGTAAGATATGAATTCCATTTGAACGCTTGCCCTTAAGGTGAGGAACTTAAGGCGAATGAAAACTGGGAAACCTGTTTTTTTTTACTCACATTTTGCCGATCGCCAGTCAGGTGAGCTAGTTCCACCATCTCCTTTCCGAACTGGCTGAAGCACTGAACAAACTCTGTGAAAGTCTTGGTGCTTTCGATCTTGTTCAAACTGTCTATCACCTGAGAAACAGCAATATTAAAAAAAAAAGCAAACCAGTGTGAATGCATCCTCAGATCAGTGATGTTTTTACAAGTACTGGTGATGTATTTACACATGTGTGTGTTTGTAAAGACAACATCCTCTAGCTGTAACCCCAAAGTCTAGTGTCCATTTTACGTACTTGTAGGTGTGCTCACAAAAAATAGAAAAAAAACACAGGCCCCACTGGGGGGTCTGCGCCAAGCTAAACACAATCAATAATATCTTCTGACAGGAAATGTGCACGGTCACGAATAAGCATCCTTCCGCCTTTAAAAAAAATATTTTTTGATATTAGATCTTTGAAAAGCCACCTGCTTGAAGCAAACACCAATATCCCCCCACCTGCACTGAAAAAAATCAGGCCCCTACACTGTCCGGCATTAATACACAATATCTGCATGTTAAATCAAGCAAATATCCTGAGTCTCCAGATCCAAAAACACACAGGCTCAAGCCGCAGCTCAGCACCGGATAGTCAGAGTCCCGGGGTATTGATTGGGCTGTGTGACGTGACATTTGAAAGGTTGCGCGAGTGTCGGTGATCTTATCCAAACGCGGCCCGGGCTAAAAGCTCCTTAGAAGACACTTAGGGCAGCGTAATATCTTGGTCTTTGACTAAGACGTTTCTCTCCCGCCAAGTCAAGGAGTTTGAGCTTGATCGGTGAATAGGCATAGCCCTGTAGGGTGAAAACATTCCATGTGGAAGATTCAGGTAGTTTGATGTTCGACATTTTATATGCACATGTACACGTATTTCCTTTCAGTGCTTACATTTCAACACTGCATACATGTACGAGCATTGGTCTAATGACTGTATTGTACATTTCGGTCCTTAGTTTCAATGGTACCGGTAGTTTCTTGTCACATTTCTCAAGTAGCATCCCTCCATTTCTTCCAGACCGCCTTCCTTCTACTCCTCTACCATTCTTTCACTCCAGGACATTTTTTTTTTGACTCAACATTTAGTTTCCATGTTGTAATGTCCATGTACATATCAAATTATACACATGGCCAATAAATGAAAGACTTTTGACTTCAAGAGTGAAAATTACATTAATCCACATCTCTGTCCCCTCGGACAATATATTATGCATGACAGTTGGAAGGGGGGCACTCTGCCCACACACGTCATAATCACCCCTATTCCCTCCAACGGTCATCTTATCACTGCTAATTACCCCTTTAGCCACCAGGGATGGGTCAGATGAATTTCAGTCATCAATAATTGAAAATGCGTCCATGCTTGTCCATGCAGTATGCATACCGGTACATGGGGGTACATGCATGAAAATACAGCACAAATTCTGATACATACCATACATGTACATGCATATGTGCAAGTAGCTGTGGAGCTGATGCCAACATTAGCAGGAGGGTGGAATTTCTTACAGGTCACTGGTGGTTTTTCAGTTCTGTGAGGATAGATCTGCATGTACATGTGTGTGTACTATACCTGTACATTTAAAAACTGTACTTACATGTACGTGTATCTCGGGGCACTTAATTGTTTGTAATACCACGTTTAAATGTTCCACAGAAAAGGCTGTTTCTTTCACAATTTCACACAAGCTCTGTTTCAACAAGCGCCCTGAAACTTCCAGGGGAAAAAATTAAGCTTTTTGACAAGCGCTAATTTTTTTTATCTTAGAAAGGCAGACTACAGTTGCACCATACTTGTACAACATGCATATTACATGTATATAAGCTATTTACTGATCAATATACATTGTATGGTTTTAAAATACAAGAACAAAGTCCTGTGATATGAATAGTTGGACCAACTTCAAAATGGCATCCCAGTGAGGCCTGGCATGTCCATTTCCAATCTCCACTGCCATGGAATGAAGACACTCATCAACCACAAAAACCAGGAAACAGAAGCAGCAGAATACCCCCGGGAGCATTCCTCCTGTGTGCCAATGAGAGAGAAGTTGATGGAATGACGACTAAAAAGCCCCATCCCTTTGCCAGTAATGTCGGTATCATTTTATGCCATCTATCATCTTGGGAGACCCTGGATACGTCTCAGTCCCCCTCCCCCATTATATTCTCGTACATTCCTCCAGGAGCAACTGATGACACAATATAATATTCCCCCTTCAAGATGTCGGCCAGACCCACTTCACAGATGTGGCACATTCATGCTGCATGAAGCATTCTGTAACAAGCAGCAGACAGACAGACGGTCCCGATCTGGGGTGTTTAGAGGGGAGAAGCAAGGATACCTCATTCTACAAGACTGCCCAAGATGAAATGTGAACCGTCCAGGGATTTCATACTGCAATCCATCGCATGCTGGAATTCCAAATACAGTTTCCAAATGCAGCCTAGACAAATACAATGCGCCGGGAATGAATCCACTATTTGGTATGCATCTCTACTAAAAGGTACACATGGGCCTTTGTGGGAATCTTGGCAGTCACAGTCAAGATATTTCAATTTTGCTGCAAGTGTAAAAGTTGTGCTGCTGGAGAACTACACCATGTTTTGAGTTTAAATATAAAATGCACATACAAGTACATGTAGTAACAGTTTACATGTATAAATGTGTAAATGTATTGTGTCCCCAAAAGCTACCATACATGTATGGGAAGGCTAATTTTGAAACATAACACCGGAAACCGGTCAAGATCAGCACACTGAACAACATTCCATTTGGCCGCAACTTGTTTTATATTACATTGCCCAAATGTACACAATTTACAATGTACAATGTACAATGGAAATTTCAGGTGTGAATAATGATTAATGTACTTCACAGGTCTTGCATGTAAACGCATTAGCCTTCAACATACTGCAGGATAACATGACTTATATGACTTAAAGTTAAAAGCAGCTTCATCAAGGCAATAGCCTGGTGCCACATTATAATTGTGAATCTTTCCTTTTCCTAGGGAGTTCAAGTTGAAGGATAACCGACACGCTAACATTACAAGTAAGTGACCGACAACTGACTTATTAATGAACAGAAGATTCACTAATCAAATAATGAACTTGCCTGCCCACGGCACAGACAACAGATATACTGATGGATCTGTGAACTGATGGCTTGCCAGATTTCTCCTTGATCAAACAATCCATCCTTGCAGAAAATTCTCTTCATCCCCAAAAGGTTTCTAACCGAGACCTAATCAAGTAATATGACAACTAAGACAACAAGACCCAGGATGCCTCCAAGTTCCAACACCCAGGATGCAAGCCATATTTACTCTGGCACATCCCTAAATTGTTGACCGATGAAGCGAGACGTTGACACGTCGCGGTGATGATAGATGGAGGGTAATAACGCAGCCACAGGATCAATTGATGCTTTTAATATCTCAAAATCAGGCCAAATGGATGTCAGGTGTTTTCTCAGTGAGGTAATCCAACTAGAGGCCAATGATACACAGTACAGTGAGTCCTCTACACAGGAAGATGGTAGTGGCCAGCTAAAAGACTCTTAATCACAACTGTTACAATAGACATGTGCATTGCTGTATTGTAACGTGAACACACACACGGCAAATATCAGTGTGTATCGGTATTTGTAGCAACGAGTATGCAAGGGTACATGTATAACTTAAGAATTAGCTCATTAACCCAAATTCCACTAGCATTTTTTGGCTTGGAACTTGCTCGAAACATCCCGAATGTTCCACTCTCCAGGAAACCAATGGCACATTCTCTGTGCTTTAACTCTCGAGGGCCACTCCTCCAACATCTTCCAAACCTTCTGGTGGACTGCAGGATCTTGGAGGGTTAGGATTAATCAGTATTCTGGACATCTTTCATAGAAATTTGCACTGACATACTTGTATTGTGGATTGTCTTGACTATAGCACTGTGTTCATGCACATGGGACCAATATGTTATCATTCCTGCGCTGCTGTGAACTTATTCCTGGCACGTGCAAATAATCATTCAACCTTTCTTTTACAACTTGGAATTCATTTCCAAGGAGAACAAGAGAATTCCAGATATTTCCTAACAACAAATATGGTGGTCAGCCTAGCCATAATAACAACTAACAGTTGCAAGATTTATTGCATCAGCCTTTGCCGAATGTCTCATTAATCAATCCTGCAAAAACACAAGAGCGCCAGCCGCTCCCAATCTGCAGAGACCAGAGGGACAGTTCAGTGTACAAGGTTTCCTTTCTGATCTCAGCATATATGCAGTCTGTGCCTCGGCATTTCTCAACCCAACCGGGGCAAATATTACTCAACTCAACCGTTAATCATGTAAATATGCCTTGTTTGCCTTGAAAACGGGCCCATCAGATTCATCATGGTCCCCGAAAAAGCCAATTTCCTCTTGGAAAAGCTAGGGAAAGTCATGACAGTCTGCCGGCCTGTAAAATTATCGCCTTCTTGTCACAGCCGCCCAATTTCCCGATCCGTCACACGGGCAGAAGATAATTAAAAAGTCATCCATGCACAAACAAACACAGACCATGGATGTGCAGAGCTGTTCTTACAAGGCACCCTACGGATGCCTCAAACTTATACCCGATTCATCTTCTATTTATTCACATTGTATTGGGAGCGTACATGTACATGTATTAGTACAGTTCATTAACACACATTCACTATTTGACACCAAAGCACGACCAGCTCCATCCGTGCATACCTGGGAAACCCATGAGAAAAATTATACGGGATAGATGACTATGCAATAGATAACATTGTTATCTCCTCCAAACAGAAACAAGGGAGAGCTTACTTTTACGTAACAAACCCATGCTTTCGTGGGAACTTACCCCAGGCACGTTCAGGTTCATGTACATGTACTGTATACATTAGGAACAGGAAACCCTTTTCTGTTCGAATGTATGGTCATCGCGCGTGAGCAGGGCACATCCACAAGCCTGCTTGAAAATTTAACTTCTTACCAGCCTGTCTCCTCATTGCTGATGAGGGTGCGCTTCAACTTACATGCACTTGTACATGTACATGTACAGTAGGTCAGATAACCTGGTGTACGTGTACCGGTACTA